TCTTTTCATTTAATGTGATTTTCTTTATTTTTCTCAGCAATGTTTTCTAATTTCAGTTTAGGGCATATACATCTTTCCTTATAGTTATCTGAGATATTTGATGATATTTTTTACACTAACATAGCTAATTAATTTTTAGTTTTTATTTTCCTACTGTTTGTTCCTATTATATACAAGTACAATATTTTGTGTTGATGGCGTTAATTAACTTATTACTTTTTTTTTTAAAGATTTTATTTTCCCTTTTACTCCCAAAGCCCCCTGGTTCATAGTTGTGTATTTTTAGTTGTGGGTCCATCTAGTCGTGGCATGTGGGACACCGCCTCAGCGTGACCTGATGAGTGGTGCCAAGTCCGCGCCCAGGATTTGAACTGGCGAAACCCTGGGCCGCCGAAGCGGAGCGCGCGAACTTAACCACTCAGCCACGGGGCCGGCCCCTAACTTATTACTTTTAATAGTTTATATAATGCTACTTTGAAATTTTAAAAATATTTACAGTGGAATAAAAAATATATGGAATAATTAGAATTAAAACTTCAGAAGTTGTGCAAGACCATCACTGAAAACTAGAAAGCATTACTAAGAGAAATTAAAGAAGTCCTGAATAAATGGAGAGACATATGATGTGCATTTGTTGAAAGATTGCATGTTTGTAGAATGTTAAAACATCAATTTTCCCAAAAATTATTTATAGAGTCAACACAATACCTGTCAAACTCCCAGTAGGACTATTTGAAGTAATTGATAATCTCATTTTAAAATTCAAATGGAAATGCCAGGGACCTAAAATAGCTACGATAACTTTGCAAAAGAAGAACAAAGTTGGAGGATTAACATTACCTGATTTTAAGATTTATGAAGATACAACAATCATGACAGCATGGTATTGGTGTCAGGTTAGATCAATAGAGCAAAAGATCAATGAAACAGAATGGAGAGTCCAGAAACAGACCACACACATATGGATAGCTGATATTTTATAAAGATACAGATGCAATTAGTAGAGAAAGGACATTCTTCTCAACAATGGTGCTAGAACAATTGAATATACATATGTAAAAAATGAACTTTGATCCAAACATTACACCACATACAAAAATCAAATGAAAATGGATCATAAATCTAAATGTAAAACCCAACACTGTAAAATTTACTTAAAAAATAGTAGAAAATTTTTGTGACATTGGATTAGGCAAAGATTTCTTAGCTGCAAAATCAATAGCAGAATCCATTATTTAAAAAAAATTGATAAATTGGACTTCATGAAAACTGAAAACTTCTGCTATTTGAAAGACACTATTAAGAAAATGAAAAAACCAGTTACACACTGGGAGAAATATTTCCAAAATATGTCAGATAAAGAAATTGTACTCAGAATTTAAAAAGAACTCTCCAAAGTAAAAAACAAGAAAATAAATACCCCGTTAAAAAGTGACAGAAGGATTTAGATACTTCACCAAAAAGGATATAGAAATGTCAAATAAGCACAATATCCTTAGACCACAGCAAGAGATGGTGAGGATGTGAAGATGGAAGTACACTGACAGTGGGAACATAAAATTTACAACCACCTTGGGAAACAGTTTCACAGCTTTTTAAAAAGCTAAAGATAAGCTATCATATCTTCTGGCCATTCCACTCCTAGGTACTTACCCAGAAGAAATCAAAGTTTATGTCCATACAAAGAGTTGTATGTGAATAATCATAGCAACTTTATTTGTAGTAGCTAAAATTGAAAACAACTCAAATATCTATCAATAGCTGAATGGAAAATAAATTGTGATTATATCTACATAAAGGAATTCTTCTCTGCAGTAAAAAGGAATCAACTATTGATTCAAGCACCTATAAGTATGAATACCAAAATTATTATCCTGAGTGAATGAAGCCAGATAAAAAAGAAGACATATTATACAACTTCCTGTCTATAAAAGTTTAGAAAATACAAACTAATCTACAGTGGCAGAAAGGTGATCTGTTGTTGCCTGGAGCCAGGATGAGGAGACAGTGAGGGGCAGGAGGAAGAGATTCTAAAGATACCTAAGGAAACTTCTGGGAATGTAGCTATGTTCATTGTCTTGATTGGGCTGATAGTTTCACTGGCAAAACGTGTCAAATTGTATACTTTAAATACATGTAGTTTACTGTTTCAATGATTCCTCAATAAAGGTGTTAAAACTTTTCAGTAATGTACTTATGCTACTTTCATTTATAATTGTTACAAATTGATATAAAAATTAATTACCGGCATAATTGTTTATGGCATTTGTTAAATATCTCATAGCAAGAAACTACATTTATCTTTTTTAATTTGTCAATTCATTCAGCAAACATTCAAAGTGCCAGACATTAGAGTGCTGGAGAAACAAAGGTAAAGCTTTCCGATTAGTGGCGTAGACAACTAACATCTATGGAGTACTCCCGGAGTTCAGAGCATGTCCCCTCAAATATCAGATGGATTACTGTGAGCTGAAGGAAGCTGAGAAACAGCAGATTCAGGAAAGGCTCTTTGATCTTCCCTTTTTCTATCTACAACAGGCCATAAGATTTCCCGTGACAGAGGCTGGCCCCGTGGCCGAGTGGTTAACTTCGTGCTCCACTTCGGCGGCCCAGGGTTTCACCAGTTCGGATCCTGGGCGCCGACATGGCACCGCTGTCAGGCCATGCTGAGGCGGCTCCCACATAGAACAACCAGAGGCACTCACAACTAGAATATACAACTATGTACTGGGGGGCTTTGGGGAAAAGAGGAAGAAAAAAGAGAAGATTGGCAACAGATGTTAGCTCAATCTTTAAAAAAAAGAATCTTTTAAAATTCTTTAAAAAAAAGAAAAAAAGATTTCCCATGAGAAAGGTGCCATACGTGTACCAGGAGAGAGCGACCTTATCATCAGAGACTGGGAACTGATGCTGAAATGGATCTGTACACACTTACTGAAATAACCCTTATACTCCACTTGTTTTGTCCCCTACCCCATATGCCTCCTAATCACTTCCCCACAATTTACTACCCATAGCCCAAACCCCAGTGTCTTGTGAATTCTTCACAAATTATTTCTTTGTCTAAAAGGTATAAGAGCTTTCAACTCTGGTCACTTCTTCGGGTCTTCATTCTCTTGTGAAGGCTCCCATATATGAAGAAAAATTTAAAGTTATGTGCTTTTCTCCTGTTAATCCATCTTATGTCGGTTTAATTCTTCAAGCCAGTCGGAAACTTAAAGAGGGTAGAGAATTTTTCCTCCCTTATGGTAGCTGTTATGTAACAGCTACTTTTTTTACATCCATCACTTCATTTACTTTTCACACAACAGAAGACATATCTTTTTACATCCATTTTACAGGTGAAGAAATTGAGCCCAAAGACATTAACAAACAGAAGGTGGCAGAATTGGTTCTGAAACCCAGGTTTGTGTGACTTCAAAGTCATGGTACTTTCCATCAAACCATTTTACAAAACCTACAATCCCTTCTAGAGAGCTCCGAGGCAGAGGATAAGATCCCTAACACTTTCTGAGGAAGTTAGTGAAGGCTTTGCTGTTGAGGCTGTATGGCTTGAGATGCAGTTAGGGCTCTCAAATATTTAGAATTTTAAGGGAATGCATTACTGATGACCCAGAGGCAAGCCATATCCTATCCCTCAGGCAGAAGTAATGTTTTCTTCCTCATTGTTCTTGTGGTATTTTGTTTACGTGGTCACTTATAACTCATCCACTTTATAGCTCAGTGAGTTATACTGAAACTCGTAATTGGCAATCACGTTAGGCTGGAAGCTGCCATTTGAATTTTTATAACTAATATTTTAAATCACCTACTAAGATCTGTGTGAAATCCTCTTACATGGATAAATTAATCTATTATTCACAACTTTATGAGTTAGATACTATTACTATCTCCATTCTACAGAGAAAGAAATGGGCTGCAACCTAAAACTTATGTAAACTTGTATAAAGAAAACACTTAAGCTATGTAAAATTAGCAACTATTTTTGTGTAAAATTTTGTCTTGGAGCTACATTAAACAGCAATGATAAGAGCAAACATTCGGTCGGTAGTCAGACATATTCAAATACATGTATAAATTACATTTCAAAACATTTAAAAATACGAATTGAATTTGTATTATCATTTCTACGATGGATAATAAAAAAGACGATTAAGCTTCTAATTCATTTCTAGAATTTAACATTTGCCTTTGGTGTGAAGCATCACCCTTTCAAAAACCCAAGCTAAAACTTGTGTACTTTGTTTAGAACGATAATGAGGTTGGTTTTACACAGCATCATTCACTTTGTGTTCTAAGAAATGAGGACTTAACAGTCGGTCATAGATTCATGCATCATCAACGTTTAGCATTACAGTCTAAGGCTGGCGCTACGTCTAAAAAGCTATGATGCTCTTATAATGTTACACACGATCACGGGTTCAGAATGCTCAACGAATCCTTCTCTGTGATGCTGCCATAGTCGTCTCCAGGGCCAAGGGCAGAGGTCGTTTACTGGAGGGCATCCGCGAAACGATGCATCACGAAAGCACGGGCACCTACTGTAGCCAGATGCTCAACTGAGCCATCTATACCCACTTAAAAAGAGTCCTTTTTCCCCCTCTAAAGCTCGAACTAATTCTTAAAACAAACGTACACAGGTTTGTCAATGCTTACGTGCCTAAGCAGACCTCAAGGATGAAAGAATGTTGGCTAAGACAAGGTGCCTGCTCTTATTCAGCACACAGTCAGCTTTTTCACTAGATGATCACAAACCAAATTCGCAAAATAATCCAGAACACGGGAGTCCGTCGACCATCCTCGCTCCTAAATTTGCTCCAAACCCACAAATTGTGGGCGGTGCAATCCCGCCCCTTTGAAACTCCCGTCAGTCAACCAGACTGTGGGCGGGGCCACGCCGAAACGCAACCTCCTCGCGCGTCCTGAGGGCGCGTGCGTCCCCAGGGCGCCGGATGACGCGAAGAAGTGGCCGTCGCGCGTGCGCAGACCGGACGTCGCGCGTGCGCAGGCGCTCGGCGCAGAAGTCTGCCGGAAGCCAAGATGGCGGATAGGTGTCCCCCGGGCCGCAGTTGGCGCGTTCTCCGTGTCTGAGCGGGTGTTTCGTCAGGGGCTGCGGCGAACACCTTCTCCGCCGCCATGGCCCGGCATCGGAATGTCCGAGGCTATAACTACGACGAAGGTAGGGGGCAGGGTCCTGCGAGGGGCGTCCCTGTCGCTGTCCCGGCCGGGCTCCCAGCGCGTTGGTATCCCCTCGGCCCTGGAAGCGGCTGCGCAGGGGAGGCCAGGCTGGAGGGCGCCGGGGACCCCTGCGTGTGGGGGCGCGGGGCCGCCGCCCGCGGGGGTCGGTGCCCTTTGGGGCGGGGGTCGTGCCGCCGGCGTCGTGCGGGCACGTTGGGCGGCGGGGCCGGGGCCCCTGCGCGGCGGCCTTGTCCCTCCTCCCTCCCGCCCCTCCGGCCGGGTCTCGCCGGCCCGCCTCCTGCGCGGCTCCCGACCCCCTCCAAAGCGCCATATGTTATCTGTGTGCGCGACCCGGGTTGACTTAAGGGTTGCGGGCCTCTGTGCTGCTGTCACTGTGTTGGATCTACGTGTAAGTCTCGTGTGCTTGCTTACACGTATTCGGTGCAGGCCCTGGCTCGATCTACCTGCTTAGCTTATTCTCTCTGAGTTTCAAGCTAAGCTGGAAGCTTAGGAGACGGTAGAGAAGATACATATTAAAAAGGCCCAAGAGGTGAGTCGATCAGATGATCCTGAGGGGTATACTCCGTTCTGGGTTGGTCATTCTCGACGTCAGTGTCTTTTGAAATGGAAACAAAACGGTACTCGAAGGAAGCGGGGTTCGAAAAGGACTTAAGTGGTTTATGAAAATGAAATAAAAGGAAAAAATCTGTATACGAATGTTCTCTAGGAGTTTGCCAGGATGTTCAGGACCAGCACAACGTCTCTGTGCAGTGGATGATTCTAGGCATCGCCAAGCATCATACAGACTGAAGTTGTAGACAGATGGGAACGAGTGCTGCAGAGGAGTGCAGAGCATGTAGTGTGCTTAATGTGTTGTTGGTCATTATCGACACTCCCGGCAGATTATTCTAGAACATAAGTGCGGTCTAACCCTACTGGAGGGTAGCCAGCACCCTGTGCTACGTTTGGAGACTGGGATCCAGTCAGCCCAGCACACGGTAGGTTCCCGGTGTCTCTTCAGCGTGGAGGCTGCGCCAAGGATTGCGGTGGATGTGAGTATTGCACGTGGACTACCGCTACCTGAGAAAGGACTTTAGGCCCGCAGGTGTTTTTGCAGGTATGATACAGAAAGCATGATGAGGCCTGATTACTACTTGTTCATTTTTTGAATAAATATTTATCATTTTCTCAACCAATGTTAGTTGAGTGCTTATTCTTCATTAACCGAGTGCTTGGAGTACTGTTCTGCGCTTTGGGGACCGACAGTAAGATGTTTGAGGGAGTCTAAGGGGGGCGGTACACGAGTATCAGGCGACGAGAGTATAAGATGCTACGGAAAGTGCTCACACAGGGCGGTGGGAACCACATAGGGGAGAACACCTTACTCAGAACGGGCTGGAGGAGTTTGAGCAGGATTCTAGTGAAGGAAGGCTTCCTGGAGAAGAGGTGGTTGGTCTGCGGGAACCTGGCAACCCTGGGGCAGGTGGGAACAATTGATGACATCATAACCAAGGTGTTCCTATAGCATCGGAGGTCCGTCCCCTCTTCTTGCTTATGAAAGTTAGACTTATTTTAAGGGGCCGGTTTATTTCTCTTCTTCCCAGTTAGGCCTTCCCTTGTACTCTGAAAACAATAATTTAAAAATTTTCACAAGTAATGTAACGTCATTAGAGTTTGTGCTCCAAAACCGGTTGGTTCTTCTGTGTAGCTGTTGCGCTGTCCTCTCTAGTTTGGCGGTAACTCCGCACGACCACCTCAGGGGCTAGTGCGAAAGTGCCGGGAAGGCCAAGTCCGCGCTTTGTGTTTATGTTTACCCCAGTAGCTGGCACAATGCTTTTCATGCAGTAAATACTCTTAAGATTTTGTTGAGGAAAAGAACCACTTTACAAAAATCCCAGGAAACAATTCATCTTTTTATATAGTGGTACTTTAGGGTCAGTTTCAGTATTGAAAACCTGACCTAGTGAAAAAGAGTTTGCTGTCTTTAATATCTAAAAATGCTTTTTTGTGAAAGGCTTATTTATTTGCTATTAAGTTGTTATTAAATCGGGATTGTGATCTAATGACTTACTGAATGTTGCACATTTTTATCCAATAGTAATATTTATCTAATTTTTCTTTGCCCTGAACATTTGGTCTCTGCCTTTGAATGTGCTGTTCCTGCAGCCTGAATACCCTCAGAAACCTAGCTAACTATCTTTTGGGATTGTTTAAAATATCATATTCCTGGGGATCTTTCCCTATTCACCTCTCTCCCTTATCTGTTTTTGTTGTTCATATGTGTGTTTCCAATAGCTCTCTATTTCTCGTGTCGGACACTTGTCATGTGGTTTTGTAATTGCCCATTTTCTCATCTGTGTTCTGGTTACATTTGAGGTTTGTAGGGATGTGGGAATGTACCTGTCACTCACTATTGTACCCCAAATGTCTGTGATTGTCCCTGGCATAGTATTAGTTGTGTTGAATGAATAAATAAGTTTATGTAAATATATTTATGTTCTTTGTGGGTTTTTAGTTTTAAATTGTTTGATTCATTAATTTATAATAAAACGTGTTAGTTTGTGCCAGCCTTGTGCCAGGTAGTTGGCTACACAGAGTCTTACCTTGAAGGAGCTTAGAGTCTCAAGGAGTGAAACAAGTATAGGGCTTTGAAGCCAGTCAAGTGGAGTGTGCTGGAGACTGAGTGGCAGGGGCCTGCTGCTCTACAAACCAGAGGGCCCAGGGAAGGCATCTCCGTATAGGTGTCGTTTGAGCTAGAATCTTAACTAGGAGAAGGAAACTGCCTTAGGAACATCTGGTTAAAGAGCACATTCTAGTCAGTGGGAAAAAAGGGCATTTAGCCTGAGCAGAGTGCACACAAGGAGTTAGAAGATGGTTTTATAGAGATGACGTAGCTCCACATGAAGAAAAACTGCTTTCCTGTCTGATTGTATACCTTGTGTTAGTCAGTTGTATGAAAAATAAATTCTTGGGTTGTAGAGGACATTCGATGGAAAAAAATGGATTTCATTTCAGATTTTTGCCTACACTGGAAAGACAATTCAAATATGTGGTCTGTGGGATTATTATTTTTTGATCACATGAGGTAAAAACTTGGAAAACTTAGTAAAACACAGCTTAAAAACCTGAAGAACTGTGTATGTCTTTTATATGTATAAAGTCAGTAAATACGTACTTTGTGGCTAAAATGTTTAGAATTTTTTTGAAAAGTAGCATTCCAGGTTCCTTTAATTTTGATGAACAATTTAATTTCTTTTGGAGAGAATTCAGATGCTTTCTCATTAACAACTAAGAATATAAAAAGAACTTGTAAATGAATTTATCTCTTGTGTTTTTATTTTAGATTTTGAAGATGATGATCTCTATGGCCAGTCTGTAGAGGATGACTATTGTATTTCACCATCAACAGGTGAATTTTAAAAAATAATTTAATTTCCATTATATGGATGTTTAAAAATGTTAAGTGTTACTGCTCTCCTAGGACTAGAGTGTTCTGTAAGACTGTAATCCTATGTAACATTTAAAAAGATAATTATATGTTAACTTTTAAAGGTGTATAAAATAATTTCTTTACCCATGAATAGAATTTAAAGTTTTGATTCCATCATTTAGCTTTAAACAGTTTGAGGAAAATTCTGAAAACTGTGGCTTTTCCAGTATTCTTTGTAGCATGCAATTAATCTAAATTGTAATGAAATTGTAATTTAGTCAATAATGAAAATCTAAAACTTCTAAAGCCATACAGCAGTTAATTTTCCCAGGAATCTCTTGGATACTGGAAACATTGAAGTGTTATAGACTTCTCTTCATACAGTAGTTTATCTGCTGTTAAACAATTTGGTAAATAAACCAAATACATGTAGTTTAGACTTCTGATGGAGCCACAGAGTGATTTAGAGTTCAAGTTCCTGTAGGATTCCACATCAGAGCCTCATCTTCTGTCTCATCTGCCAAAAAATTTCTTCTTTGCCGCCATATTAAAAAAACATTCATATGTTATTCCAGCAAGACTGAGTCTTTGGTGTAAACTTTCTCTCACTAATTTCTCTAACAGTACATCTGTCTTCAAATTTCAGCCTGCTCTGCAAACAATTGGTGAAGATGCCCTGCTAAATTTTATTGTGCCATAAAATGGGGTACAATTAAATATAGTTAGATACAGCATAAATGTTATTCATACAACTCATTTTTCACAAGTTTAAAGGTTTAGTATAATTAACCTTTCCATCCGAGTCCACCCTGTCTTTAATGCTTTAATCCCACTTTTAGTCTCTGGAGACCAAATATGTCCTTTCTGACTTTGTAGAATTCCTTTTTCTTTATAAAGGCATAGGTGTTCTAAAAGTTGTCTTAGCACCTCTTCTCTTCCTGTCACCTTTTTTCTTGTTATTTGTTGCTCTGAAATGTATCTAGCCCTTTATTTATATTTTCCATGTTTGCCCATAACCAATCAGGACCTTTCCTCTCTTTAATGTTACACTGTTACCAGTCAGGATCCTGTTAGGAGATAGAAGTCACTCCAGTTATATTGCCAGAGAGAATTTAACGTAAAAAGTTGTTAACCAAGTATTAGAAAACAAAAACTGCAAAAAGTTGAACCCAAGTATCAAGGAAGAATTAACTTCAGGCAGGATCTGCACCCTTAGCACCTAAGAAAACAAAGGGACAAGGCTGAAACCAACCTTTTAGAAGCTTGTTGGGGCTGCTTGGACGTGAACTTAGACCTGTGATGAGAGGGTTTTGCTCTGTTGCTTTGCCTCTCAAGTTCAGACGTGGGACTCAGACCTCTGAGGAGGGGGACACTATGTGGCTGGTACTGATGTCCCTGAAGGGACCCTCTGAAGCTGGGCTTCAGCCTTTTGAAGAGGGAATTCTAGCTGGCTGGCTGGTCATGATGTCCAGGGGATGTGGGTCAGGGCATGGTGAAGCTGGTTCTAGGAGTTTTGGAAAAATTCTAAGCTGATTAATTGCTGTTGCTGGAACAAGCTACTTCTGCAAGGTGAAGTGTTGCTGGGATGATTGTGACTAGACAAGAAGCCAAAAGCAAAGGAGCATCTGTCTTCCTCTGGCCTTCCATTCTCCCTTTAGCTTCTCCCTGTTGGCTGATCCTAAAAGGGAGCTAGCTGTCGAAGAAGATATGTGCTTTGCAGAGACTGCAACCCCAGCATCACAAAGCAGAATAAAGAAGGCTGGATCAGAAGCTGAGAGCTGGCTTAATCGGCATTCCTTCTAAGCTCCTTATTTTCAGGGATTCAAAAGCTCACATTTTGTAGGGATTAGGAATAAAGGAAATTTCACTTTTTCCAGGGAACCTCCCAGGCACTTGCCATTTTGCAGTGTGTTAAAAAATGCCTTATGGGTTGACCCTCTTGGGTTCCTATAGTTCACTGTCGCAGAGGACTAGGTGACAAAGTGAGGTCTGGTAGCACTAACCTCATCACTCACATTGTCAGCGCAGTAGAGAGCCTGTCCATGAAACTGAGATGATGTAGGTGTGATAATTAGATTGGAGTTTTTGAAAAATCTCTTCTGCATAGTAGAGACTGGATTGAAGGCGGCACCTGGGTGGATGCAGGTAGATTAGTTAGAGATTGTTATACTAATCTAGAGCAGATGAGGATATTTTAGGACAGTGTTCTCAAAATGTGGTCCATGTATCATTAGCATCACTCGAGCATTTGTTAGAAAAGTAATTCTTGGCCCCACCCTGTTTTAACAAGCCCTCCAGGGTATGCTGATGCCTGCTTTGTTTATGACACTGGGGCATGGGTTTGGAAATAGATTCAAGAAATAATCATAGGAGTTGAGGTCTATAGGACTTGGAAGTTGGTTGAATGTTACTTGCACGAGAGTGGAAACCTTCATAGAGAGAGGGACTACTGAAAGGCATCTTAATATTGCAGGTGAACACATTCACTTATGGAGGCTTATCTGGATGAATCGTGCTTAATCTTGAGTAATGAGCTAACAGTACGCAAGGTATGGCATTCTGAGAGTGTTTTTCTGAGATTTGCCTTTATGGCCTCGCTTTCTTGAGGTCAAAGTGTCTCCGTGTATCTCTCACAGCTCTGGAGTGTGTCCTGTGTGTGGTTCACATCCATGACAAACCTGACTGAGAGTTACTTTTGTACACACCAAGAAGTCTACTGACTTTATCAAAGCAGGAGATAGTTAAATGGTTTTGAATTTCTTCTGTGACAAATTGGTATTTTTAACAAAAGCATATGGTTTTGGGTTTTTTAAATTTTCAGAACGTGCATAAAGTAACAGTAATATCAGATCAGAGACTTATTTTTCCTCTTTAGTGGTATATTTTCCAAGTGATTTTTAGTAAGAATTGAATAGTTTTGGAAGGATACTTTCTGTTCTTAAAGAAGCAGCTAATGTCATTGAAGAGATGGTCATATTCATGGTCTAATGGATTTTGATAATTGAGTGACTTTATCAATTAATTGGAATTTCTCTCTAAAATTGATCAGCACGAGTATTTTTTTTTCCCAAACTGTATTAAGCACAATTTTTGTGATGGAAAGGTGATTTCTAAATGTTACAGCTTTTTTTTTTTTTTTCCCTTTAGAAAGGTTGACTTTGATATCGAATATTGAGCATACATCAAGGAGCTGGGGATAGCAAAAAGAGCCTATATATAAAACTTTATTTCAACAGTTACAAATTTTGTTTCCGCTAATTCAGTTAGAAGTATTAAAAGATAAACTGAGTCATATTAAAATTTTTAAGTGTTTATTTGAGCAAACATTTTGAATCAGGCAGGTACAAACTGGAAGTGGTTAGGAGTGCTCCATTGTCAGGAGCTGGGGATAAGGTTTTTATAGAGAATACACAGAAGGAAAGCAAGGAAATTATTTGATTGGCTGTAGCTTAAGCGGTTGCATTATTTGGGAAAGCTTAGTTGGCTTTTTCTGATTAGCTTTGTTCTTAATCCTGAGGCATTTACAGGAATTGACTGGCTTAGTTTTCCAGTTACTACCGAGGCATTAGAACCACCTCAGTCTGCTGACCTCTGTGTGTGATCACTTGAACAGTAGTAATCCTTCAACTCAAAATCTTTATTGAGCGTCAATTAACATGTAAGAAAAACACTATTCTAATAAGTTTATAAGTTAGTGTGGTGTATGGCAGCTTGTTAGAAGTCTTCCTCAAGCCACATGCCACAACAGTATGGTGGGTAAAGAAATAGTCCTGCCTAAAGGAGTTTGGGAAGGCTTCTGGAAGGAGATGGGATGGGACGGGTGAATTGGGGAGTAGTAATGCCATCCTAGAGAGAGGAAGCAGCAGTGCTTGACCAGTGGCCTGTTAGCGACGTGTGTTTGGGAAGACCCACACGGTTAATGCAGTAGCAGCAGGAAAGAGGGCCAGGAAGGGAAATAGGAGCCAAATAGTGGAAGGCAGTTGTTTTAGGTGTATAGTGTCAGCTTACTGAAGGTTTTTGAGTAAGGGGGTAGTATTTTAGGAAGTAACTGATGCAGATACGCGAAGTGGACCACAGGTCGGGCAGATGGAGTGGAGACTGGCCTACTGGTGTTTCCTGACCTTCGCTGATGATGCCAGTCAGCTGGGAGTAATTTTAAAAGTACAGCTTGCCTGCCCTGTCCCAGCACCAGAGTCAGAATCTCCAGGGGAAGAAGTCTAGAAAGCTGCATTTTTAATGAGCGCCCCCATGATTTTTATTTTAAGGTGTTCAGGAAACAGTTTTAGGCAGTTTTGGGAGTCAGGTTTTGAATTCTGTGAACTCTTATGTTTGTCAAAATGCCTTAAATTTTAAAAGTCGCTATGAGTGTCCAATTTTTCAAAAAGCATTTCCATCAAAGTTTGTAATTTAAGTTTTTAGAAGAGAATAGCACTTTCTCTCCATTGCTTTTCTCTCAGTCCTTTTATTATATTTGTTGCCTTTTGGGCTTTCATTTCAACTTCAAAGATTTGGACCGTTGTTCCCCCCAGTAGCTATTTTCCCTGGGGAATTTCCCTCCCAACTCCTGGCAGATCCAGCCATCACTATTTCCGAAACAATAGCCACAGTATGGGTTTCTCGGTTGGATTTGTGTGTGTAAGGGGGTAGGCAACCCCCCCAGAAAAATAGCTCCTAGGAGGCAGAGTAGAAGTCTGGACATTGACAACTTCCTCTTCTCTGTCCATGTTTCCTAAGTCAAAATTATTGAGGAAAATGTCTCATTTCTTGTCTTACTTGATTTTTGATTTGTCTTAGATTTTTTCCTCACAGTTGAGAGCTATGAGGGGAAGTTGGGGAAAGTTTATTTGTTGCTTTTAGCCTAAACTCAGTAGTGTTTTACAGCCAGGAGAGTAATTTGTAATAACCAGTAATCACCAGGCACAAAATGGCCCAGGTTATAGTTTGTAGTACTAAGACATTTCATTAAATCTAAGATGCCACGGATTGTAAGACATATCATTATTTCACGTACCACTTAAAAAAAATTGGCTGTCAAAGTTTTACGTAATGCTAAGATGCCATTGGTTGTAAGGCACATCCCTCATTCTGGGATTTTAATGTGATAAAAGTGGTCATCTTAGAGAATCTGTGAAATAGGATGTCTCTTCTGCTCTTTAGCCATGCTCACTTTATAATAATTTATATAATTCTTGCACCAGAGGGGGGGAAATAAGAATATATACAAAACATAATCTTTGCAGCTCAGCCTGTAAAGTACTAAAAAAAAAAGCAGTAATCATCTTAATGAAAATGCTTGCACAGGGGCTGGCCCGGTGGTGCAGCGGTTAAGTGCGCACGTTCCGATTCGGCGGCCCGGGGTTCGCCAGTTCGGATAACGGCTGATTCGGCAGACATCCCACATATAAAGTAGAGGAAGATGGGCATGGATGTTAGCTCAGGGCCAGTCTTCCTCAGCAAAAAGAGGAGCATTGGCAGCAGATGTTAGCTCAGGGCTAATCTTCCTCAAAAAAAAAAAATGCTCGCACATTTGGAAAGATACATTAACTTTCTGATTAAGAAATATTCCAGTAAATATACGACTTTACAATAAAAAACGGTAAAAGCTTGATAGAGGTGTAAGAAAGAGTTGAAACTAATGAGTAATGTTGCAAAGGCAAAATACTCATAGATTGTGCAGAGCCAAGCAGTAAGCAGGCACAAAACAGGACATGTGGCCAGACTGAGCCAAGAGGAAGAATGTGAGGCTATCTGGCATTACACTGTAATTACAGTATAATAGTCTGTGGTTGGTGTTATTGGACTTTGTACCTGCTGCTATTATGCAAATCATTGAAGTGTTGGGGGAAAATCTCATAAAGCAAAAGCAACTTGAATGTTACACCCTGATCATTCCCTATTTACTGTTTGGTATGAGCTAGTTTGTGTTAAGGACACATGCATCATAGCAGAATACATTGAGTTCTCTCAGCTGCTGTGTATTTCTCTCATTCTCTTCTTGTCCAAGGTGTCCTCCACTTGTCAGTTTTTGTGACGTCTTACCTCCTTTATTATAGCTGCTCCTGTCATCAGTGATTACTAGATCTTCTACGTTTCTGCAGTGCTTATAGTCTGTAATACTCATTTGGCTTTTAAAATACATCAGTAGGTTTTTCTTCTTTGCCTTCCCTGCTAATCTGTAAGGCCCTCATTGATTTATACTGTGAATGCATAGCACTTATGCCTGGCCTTCTGAGTACAGGTGTTACACAGTGTTACACATAAGCCGTGGTATTATCTATTGTCTGTATATGCATTATCTATAAACTTTGAGTGTAGTTAGTTCCCCTTACTTTCATAGGTAGTGCCTTCCTGAAAACATGCACAAAAGTTAAATGTGGGAACGCTAAGTGATAGACTTAACATGTTACGTGCTCTTCCACAAAGCTAAATAACATTTAATCCCTAATAACACCTTGCCTTTAAAATACTGTATTGATAGTTCTATCCTTCTTAATTTATTCTTTAATTTTATTCCTTCACAATTGAACACAGTCTTCAGAAATTGACTTCAGTGGGCATCCACTTGAGGCAAAAGAGTCAACACTTTGGGCATGTGTGCTTATTTTTTTTGCCACTTGTATTTTGTAGATGAGACTCAGGCATATATTGGCAGTTTGGTGTTTTGTCTTTCCTCCTTTTAATGAAATATACAGTACTCAGTTATGTATTGAGTGGTGACAGTGCCAGTACTGCAGAGTAACACGGGCTGATGTCTGAAAGTCAAAGTTAGGTATATGATGGCACTAGTACACAGTGTCAGTGTATGATTTAAAGTACGAGTGGTTCAAAAGTTAAAGCCTGGGCCGGCCCGGTGGCGCAGTGGTTTAAGTTCACACGTTCTGCTCTGGTGGCCTGGGGTTTGCTGCTTCGGATCCTGGTTGTAGACATGGCACAGCTTGGCAAGCCATGCTGTGATAGGCATCCCACACATGAAAAAGTAGAGGAAGATGGGCACAGATGTTAGCTCAGGGCCAGTCTTCCTCAGCAAAAAAGAGGAGGATTGGCAGCAGATGTTATCTCAGGGCTATTCCTTAAAAAAAAAAAAAAAGCCTATGATTTTGGTTGACTCCTGGATTCAGGCAAAATTAGCAATTCTTGGAAAGTGAAAATTAACCTAGTCTATTTAATTATGAAAATAAGCAAGTTTGATAAGTTTGAAATACGTGTACGAAAGAAGAGAAAATTTCAGGAAAGACCGAGTAGCAGGCAAGGATGAGATATTAGGAAAGGTAGTCTTTGAAAACTTCGGAGAAAGTAAGCTCGGTGGAATGGATTTGGAAAAGGAGGAAAGTAAGGAAGACGATTATACGAGGCTGATGAATAGTTAGGGCGTTTGAGCAGAATTTGAGGTATGATATATTTTGTCTTTGTTTTTGTTTTCATCCATTATTATAGAATGTGGGTAAATGACTGTATGTGGTACGTCAGAATCTTTAATTTTTACTGTAATTTTTGTGAAAAGAATAGTTAATGGGACATGGCTGTACTCTAGCGTTTTTGAATCATTTTATATTCTAGCTGCTCAGTTTATATACTCACGACGCGACAGCCCTTCAGTTGGTGAGCCGGTGGAAGAATATGATTATGAGGACCTGAAAGAGCCCTCCAGTGCACTGTTGAACCGTCAGCTAAGTGGAGTTGATCAAGGTATAGAAAACATACTATATCTGTGTTTCCTGAGAATGACTAGTAATTAATATATTTGAAGGTGTTGGTTTTATGATGATTGTTCATAATAGTGATTCTGGGTAGTACTGGTACAAACGTATCGTTTCTTCAAGGAAAATTTACATTTATTAAGTGTGTTTTGTGAGGAGTGCATGGTTAACTGTATAGTTGAAAAGTTGATTGGCTGTTATTTAGTAGCTGGAGTTTTTGATTGAACTCTCCCATTATTCATCTCCTTAGGAGAGAAGCTTGAGTGTTTTTGTTCTTTTAGCAATATTTATTTTTTCATAAGCTCTATGTGGAGCTTATGATTAGATTACAGAAGCTCATTTCCTTGCAAAATGTTAGGTTCCAAAAGGCTGGGTTTAAAAAAAGTTTCTTTTCAATCCAAAGTAACACTATACAAGTCCTGATTGGTCTTATCTGTGGAAATTAAATTTCAAGATAAAACTTGTAAATGGTAATGACGTTCGTTCTGAGTTTGCTTCTTTTCACTTTGGTTAAAAATTTTAACAAAGATATTTATATTTTGGCTTTGGTCTTTTTTTTTTTTTTTTTTAATTTGCTGAGGGAGGTTGGCCCTGAGCTAATATCTGTGCCAGTCTTCCTCCATTTTGCATGTGGGTTGCCAGCACAGTATGGCAGTAGTGTGGATCTGTCACTCAAGCCATAGATTGGTGAACAATGTGGCAGAACTAAAATGGCCCGTGTAACATTAATGCCACCTGTTGGTAGTGAGCAGGGCTGAGCCGATTTGCTCTTTCTTTGGAGTGTGGCTTTGTTCTATAAACATTTTTAAATTGAAAATTTGTAACAGTTAATTTGAAAACAGAAAGAGGAAATGTATAAATATGAGAGCTGATCTTTGAATAAATTAGTAAGATATATATCAGCTACTAACCAAATCAAGAACAATGGAGAGAAAGCACAAATATACAAAATTAGAAAGTAGAAAGGGAAAAAACAGATAAAGATTTAAAAAATTTCTTTATCAACTCTCAAAATACATTTGACAGTCTGGGTAAAGTTTGTAAAGGAGGTGCTGTGTAAACTCCATAGCATTTGATTGTAGTTTTAAAGAAAGTGTCACAGTTGTCATTGTGGGGTGAGAGGATAGGAATAGAGTAGAGGTCTTCTACTCTTTCTGCTCTTTCTCAGAATGATTATGGAGGTTTGAAATTCAGGTAAGTTTGAGAATGAAAGTTGATCATTTCTACCTGATGTGTAGGTAATTGCCTGATAACAATAATGATGATTGTGGCTAACCTTTACTAAATGCTTTCCAGGGACTGTTCTCAGTGCTGTTCAGGTATTAACATACTTAATCTTCATAAGAACCTTAGGAGGTAAACCAGTTACTGTCCTCATCTTACAGGGTAGGAAAATGAGACACAGAGAAGTAACTTGGCCGAGGTTGCACCCGGTAGTAAGTGACATTAGGATACGAACCAAGACAGCCTGACTCCATATCTCTACTCATTGTGTATGTGTAGAAAATAGTTGCTGTAATTAATAAGAAGGGCCCTGAGGCTAGCTATACTAACTGTTCTCCAGTTTCAGGAATTCATGTTTTTATGAAATAGGTATACTTTTCCAAGTGTAACTTACTAGCCTAAAGTTAATCTTGTACTCAAGCAAAGCAGAATTACCCATATATTTGAGGAATTTATTTTTAATAATTAAAAAAGCAAAGAGAAAAGTATCAAATACTTTTTTTTTAAAGGAAGGGATTGCTAGTAGATTCCTTATTCAACATGTAAACATGTAAAATGTAATATAATTGCATTCTGTGAAATGGTTTCATGGAGCACGGAAGACCTGCGTTCTGTTTTGATTACCGTTCACTTAAAGGTGCCAGGATTTTCTGTCATCTTAGCTTTATGAATTAGAGTTTGCTTGATAGCCCTGGGTCATAGAAGTATTGTGAGGATTACAAAAGATATGTATATATCTCTTAAGTATTTCGAAAATTGCCCAGTGCTATACAAATATAAATGAATATGTTCATCCATTTTTATTCAGTGGCCTCTGGGTACCAGGTACTATTTTAGGATCTAGGGATATAAAACCTCTGCTTTTGTGGAATTTACATCATTATGAATATTAGTAATTACTTTTTAGAGTAATGTCATCAGAAAATAAAAATCCTTAAAGATTTTATACTTTCAGATTTAAATTTTTTATTTTTAAAATGAATGTCCATTCTCAATCTACTGGAGTTCCTTATTTTTATGTCATTTTTATATTAAGTTTATCTTGCCCATTTTTGAGGAGTTAGTAAGGATGATTTTAGTTGGCTGGGGAAAACTGAAGTTAGCCTAAAAGGAAACTTAAGGTATTAATTTAAGAAATTAAAAAAATATACTTAGTAATTAACTAGGTTTACTTACAAGTTAGAAGTATTCCCATACCTACCCTCTGTTTCTATACATGGAAAAAATCATCAGTGCAGACATCAGTCCTCATCATTGACTGAAAATAGATATTAGTGTATACGGTTTACACTTTTTTCAAGCATTAGTATTATTTAGGAGACATTTATTATAGTGACTTCTTAATAAAATTATTCTCCCGATAAGGGATGATAGGTATATTGTGGATAAAAATATAATCGTTACAAATAATTTTTGCCAAAGCAAAAGGAGAGTTGAACATCCTATAGTTTCAAATCCTTTTTTCAGTTTTGAAAATCGAGTGTTCTGTCTTGAGACCATTTAGTGTAGCCTTTAATTATTGCTGTCTGTTCTAGCTCGTCTTTATTCATGCCTTGATCACATGAGAGAGGTATTTGGAGATGATGTGCCAGACGACGTATTGATTGAAGCAGTTCTGAAGAGCAAGTTTGACGTGCAGAAGGCTTTGTCAATGGTTCTGGAGCAAGACAGCCTGCAGAATTTGAAGGTGAAGAGTCAGGGAGCAGTATCTGCAGGAAAGATAGCTAAAGGTATGCTTTTACTTGTTCTCTTTTAGTTGTTTTAAGTTAATGCTTTTAAAGAGGCTTTGATTTGCTTGAGCTGTTCTGAAAAATGGGCAGAAAATTTTGCATGTTACAGTAACTCTTGATTCCTGTCAGTTGATTTTCTAGTTTGTGAATTTTTAAACTGAGGGCTTTGTTCCCTTGTCTCTGATAAAGCCTGTTTTTAAATTTTTTTTTCCCTGCTTGTTTGTGTAACTAACAGAATATAGGGGAAATAAAATCAGATAAAAACAAGACAAGACACTTTTTGCTTCTTGTGAATAGCTTAGGGAGCTTTTTAATTATTGTTGTTTTTTAACTCTAATAGTTGAGGAGTTGGAAATTAATAGCCAGATTAATGTCAAAAAATTCCTTTATGCTTAAAGCAGATATAAATATAATTTGGTTTTATTTAAGTATCGTGACTATCATAATTATAGTTTCTGGCGTTTCATAGACCTTTAATTTTAAATTTATAGAATTTGGGGTTAAATTTGGAGTTAGTTGACACAAGAAGGGAACTCAGGTACCTTTGTGTTAATTGGTATGATATCTGGCGGTGGGAGCATGGTGCTTTGTTAACTGGGTTGATATTTCTTGTAACCTGAGGACTAGATTTTTCCTATAACAAAGAGGCCTGCAGTCTGTTACTGTGAAATAAAGGTGGTTTTAATTTTCTATTTAAAAAATTTTTATTTTGGGGGGTATGTGCTTTTAACTGACCAATATGAGAATGAGGCTGTAATATATCATCTCTGTTAATAGTTTATCCCAGATCATGGTAGAAATATAGGCTGTTAGTTGTTTGCTTGTATTTAATACAAGCAAAAATACAAGTAAAAATAAAGAAGAAGATGAACCTAGTTCTTTCCGTTGGTGTTTTTGGATGATTTGAATTTGAGACAATCCTGACTATAATTTAAGTATGTTAAAACCTCGTTGAAGTATGTTAAAAAAACATTATAAAATTTGTGAAAATTAGAATATTGACTAACTTGGTATTACATTTGTATCTATCAGTGAACAAAGTATGAAGGTCACTTTAGGTGGTTAAAGGAGGGTAAAATTCCTTTATTGTTGTTCCTTAGAGTGTTCATTTTTTATTAAATAATGATCATGTATCACTTTATTCATGTCATAATCAAAAGAATCATTTAGTAATTAAATGCCTCATTTCATGTTTCTTTTTGGTTGCTGTGACTGTCTTCTGCATATGTCAACCATTCATCTGAAAATTAATGGCTCTTGGAAGGTAAGGAGTCTTATCATCTTCCTCTAAAGTGTCATCTGATGATGTTCAACACTCTTGTCCTCAATCCGCAAACCATTTGGATTGTAGTAGCAAACCCTTTGATTTTTCTGGCCCAGTAGTAAAATATGGATTATATCATAATTCCTCAGTTGTACCAAGTCACTGTTTACTCCATAAAAAAAAGAAACTTGACAGACCTAGAAGTGAAAAGAAGCTAGAATCATGTAAGTTAACAAAAGAGCTGTCAGTAGCTGATCTAATTGATGATATGCCAAGAGATTCTTGTGAAAGTCAGCCATCAGTCAGATTAACATCCACAGATAGTCTGCAAAGTCTGCTTTCACAGAGTCTAGATGCTGATTTGTTGAGACCTCATACATCAGAATGTGTTTCCAGAGATGATTCTGCATTCAAAGGAATACAAGATTTAAAATCCTTAATGATAAAGAACATTGCACCCCATAACTCTCTTTTTATTCAAAATGATTCATTATCTGATTTGCAAAACATTCCAGTACAAAACAGCTTAGGAAGTTTACATGATCCTTTGCTCTTAACTAGCTCACTGGAGAATATGGCTCTTGATAATTTAAATGCTAGTAGAATGACTGAAGTTGGAAGTGTTTCTTTAGTTGAACAAAGTGCCAAGAATTACATTTTAAAAAATGACGATTTGCAGTTTTCCCAATGTGAACTTCCATCCCTAGCTGAACTGTTTCAGGAACACAAAGAAAACAATCCAAGCCAGTACTTTCCTTTACCAGATCTTTGCAACCAAGCCTCTGCCAATTTCACAGATCTAAGGCTGGGATGTTTTCCCCTGTCACAACCAGCAAATCATTATCAGTCTTCGACTGGGATATCAGAATTAACAGGATCTCTGTCGTCTTTGGCATTTCATAAAGCTTCTCCTACGAGAGACCTTGAGGATTTGTCACTTTCTGATTTGATTGCAGAAACGATTGATATAGACAACTCTCAGATTAAGAAAGATTCCTTTACGCTCAGTTTATCTGAAATGAGGTCACCTGGATTAGATTCAAACATTGATCTTAGTGTCCTTATAAAAACCCCAGATTTTGTTCCAAAACCTGTAGCAGCCCAGTCAGTTGCTCCAACACCAGGAACTAAAGTTCCAAGTTCAAAGTTAGGGAAAAACTCCAGTTCTGCTAAGGATAATAAGAAAAACAATAAAGGCTTCCTGACTAGGAAACCAGCTATTTCTGCCTCTTGGACCAAGGCCCTTGCTGCTAGACCTTCAGCTTTTGCTTCAACACTCTGTCTTCGTTACCCATTGAAAAGCTGCAAGCGACGCACCCTAGACCTCTATAAGACTTTTCTTTATAGTAGACAAGTTCAAGACATAAAGGACAAAGAAATAAGTCCTCTTATAGCAATAACTCCATTTGACTTCAAATCAGCATCTCCTGATGACATTGTAAAATCTAATCAAAAGAAAGCTTTTACTAGAGAATAGTAACAAAAGGAAAACTTGATAACTGCTGTAGAGCTTTTTATTTTAAATTAATTTTAAGTCTTTATAGTGTTACTTTATGAGATTTAAGTCGTGATTTTTACGTTAAAGTTGTCTTAAGTTAGTTGATAACTTTAGTTGATATGTGTTTTTGCACTGAAATCTTTTTTTACTGTATCTTCTTTTAGTGATAACTGGCTTTATTTAAGTTGATAGCCTGGAATGGGTGTATCTTTACAAAGTGCATATGGAAACTTGATATTATGAAATCAAATCTCAGATATTTTTGTTTGAAGCATTCAAATTTATAAGTTTTTACAATGAGACATTTTCTTTTATAAAATATTTTTGTGTTTTGTTCTTTAAAATGCCACCACTTGGGATTATAATTTAGTGATAAAGCTTTCTCTCATGTAGCATAGCATAGCTGAGACAATATTATATTTTAAAATATTAGTGATATCATTCCCAGTTTCATTATTTTTCTGTAGGTGAATACTAAAATATTTCTATTAGAAAGTCTTAAAACTCCTGAGTTTTAAGAATACTGTGGAGGTTGTTGAAATACATTTTTGATGATAATAAAAGGAAAATCCTTTAAGGGACCATGTAAATATTGAAGTTGCATTAATACATAAATTATTTTTATACATTTTCAAAACCATTTGTCCTAAATGCACACTTTAAAATAAATCTATGCAAAGTGTTTTCAAGTATGGTTGTAAGTTCTTTGAATAGATAATTTTATCAGATCTTTGTAACTTTTTTTACTATAAGCAATGAAATGTGGAGTTTTTCTCTTTGCTACTGCCACCTGTGTGCATAGAATGACAAAGTTTTAGCAATGGCAGACCAAATAAGAGCTCTTCTAGTCAGTAGAACAAGTATGAATTCATCCTCTAGAGCAGTGGTTCTCAACTAGCCGTCAGAATCACTGGGGGAGTTTTCAAAACACAGATGCTGTGGCTTCACTCCAGACGTGGTGACCCAGTCTCTGAGGGATGACGCTTAGGAATGTGTTTTCAGAATGGTCCCCTGGTGGTTCTAACGTGTTACTTCTGCTTGAGAACCACTGCCTTAGAGAAAGAAATCAGTAGAATGAAACGAATTGCTACTGCTAAGAATGACATCTGACCAACTAGAATTTATATTTCATATTTTTTAGTAATCAGGAGTTACCAGGGAAAATTACTAATAAGGAATTATGGTCTCTTGCATAGGAGATGCTGACATTATTAGTATTTCTTGTGGGAAAAAATAGTATCTAAAATGTTACTTCTTAATGAAAATAAAATATCTAGCCTTTTCTCAGTAAAGATGTTTTTCTGTGGCAGCTGCTTCACTATGCAATTCATATTTTTTTTTTTGTATTTCTTGTTTCTCTTTATTTTCAGAATGACAGTCCAGAATTTTTAGCTGTGTGCCATGTTTTTAATCCAGTGTTTTGGTGGGAAAACTTAAGCCAGCATTCTGTTGTCATTTTTCTTGACCACTTTCTTGTGGTGTCTTCTGGTCTTGTTTTTAATTGTATATTTCAGCACACATCATATTGATGCCTAGGAGACATTTAAGTCATAAGTTTTATTTTATGATCACTTTTAAAGTTTGAATTATCCCAACTGCTGATTTTATTTTTCTAGTCTTGAATTTTAGTCATACGTTTTAGTAATTTTGAACTAGTAGTATATCATCAACTAGATTTATAAATAGGCAGTCTCTAACCTAGAAATGAATTGTATTCTAAGAGTTTGCTTGGACATGACGGTAATTCCTGATAGATTAAGTGCTACGCCAGCAACATGAATTCCAAATACTTATTTAACCCATATTGAAGTAGAACAGTGCTACTGTTATTTTACCTTCTTCTCTAACAAACTAATTTTCAAGTGGAAATAGAATACTCTTTAAGCCCTGTATAGTATATCTTGTAGAGTGAACTGGATCTCCCTTTGTTGGCCGATTAGGATTGTAATTACCACTTATGAGCATATTTCTTTAGGGGGGAAATATTCTGTATTACAGGGTGATAGGGAAAGTAACAATTTTAAAATAAGTCTCCCTATTTCCCTTGTCATGATGACTGGTCTCTCAGGCATGTATCTGACATGCACTTGCCCTGTTGAACAAGGGGGTGTCACAGTGTCTGAGATTCTGAGGGTGGAACCAAGAAAACCCTGCCCCTTCCGCCCTTGGCCATTGGCCCTTGGTAAAGAGCCCAGTGCCTGCATGTTCATGGATACGCTCCTAGTGATGACGGTTGCT